CCCCTGCCACACACACACACACCTCTCAAGTGAATCTGTGTTAAAACGTTCCAGACTTTTGTTCATTTAACACTTGAGGGAGCACAATAGAAGAATGCTCGACGCCGTCCTCTCAGAAAGTGTCAGCTGGTGTAAAAGGTTTAATCGCCCATCATGTCAGATTCATCAGCACCTGCCGCCATCAAACTCCCACCTCTGTCGCTTTCATTCGTTTCCTCTCAATCTGCCTTCCTGCCCATCCTGTTTGAGCATCTATCTGCTTCACGTTTATTCATATGACTTCCCATTACTTGGTCTGCCAAGAGGGCTGTCTGACCTTCATGGCTGACCTCTCTAGGAGAAAAGATGAAATGAAATGGCTCTAAAAAAAAGCTTGAAAAATGGCACATCCTTTGTTTTGGAATCATTTGCCTTGGTTTACATTTGACTTCTGATAGTAGGGAAAATCCAAAGCAAAAGTTAAAGAGAAACAACACCTGAAATAAATCTGATTCACCGTTTGGTAAATTACCAGGTGAATATTTTGTGCATATCATATTTATTATGGGTTTTAGATTTAAAGAATTGAACCTTACAACAAAATTTGGCTACTAAAATCCATTTAAAATGGATTTAAAAAATGTTAAACCTCAAACTCCTAACTAAACAACTTAGAGAAAAAAATAGCGAAATATAAAAACTAAATCTTTAGCCATTAGCCAATAAACTTCCTCTCTTTCCAGGGTCTTAAAGTTATAAAGTTATATATATTAAGTTGTAACATGTATGTATTTAGATCCAAATGTTAAAGCAGCTTATGTTTTCCCCAATGGTATTTTAAAAGTAAGTCACTCGCATAAAAGTTGTTAGTATACAGTAGTCTGTCGCTACTTCGCGGTTTGTTTATCGCGGACTCGCTATATCGTGGTTTTTCAAAATAAGATTGGACATGACACACAATTGGCTGATTGATGGATGAGCAGCACGATTGGCATTGAATTTTTATTTAAAATAAATTATTTTAAATTATTTAGCACCTCCTGCACCTCTGTGCAGCCCACACTGCAGGATAAACTTCCTGCTGCAGCTGATCAGCTGTTCTCCATGCAGATTGGAGAAGCGGGCGTGGCCAAGAGCACTTTCAGGTGGCAAAGCGCAGAGGAGGCAGGAAGCTGAAATCATGACATTCTGTGCTCTTTTAAAGCTTTAGAGTTTAGAAACATTGTTTAGAACATTTCAAGAGTGTGGGAAGTGTTTAAAACACCTTAATAATTAATAAAATAAACTACTACTTACTACTTGTATTACTATTCTTATTTCGTGGTTTTTCACTTATCGAGGGGCTTCAGGGTACGAATCCCCCACGATAAACGAGGGACTAGGGTAATGTAAATGCATACAGTAAAAAATGTTTAAATAATTGTGTACGATTTTGTTGTTGTTGATGAAATACTTAAAATGTTAGAGAACAGTGTAATATCAAGAAAAAAAGGTGAATTAAAAGCTTAAAAAGTATGGAGAATATATATATATATATATATATATAAGCTGGGCAAAGATATAAATGTAGTAGTTCAGTAAGGACTTTATAGAAACAGAAGCACCAATAAGTTTTAAAGCTGGACAATCCTCTATGATGTGCAAGTTAATTACGAACATGCATCTGTGTTTAACTTACGAGTGATATTTGGGTAGGTAGAAAAATCATTCACAAACAGAAGGATGGGATTAACCTCGTAACCCAAAACATTTATAATAAGAGTTGATCTGCATATCTTAACACGTTCAGCTATATTTCAAAGCTAAATAAAAAAAGCCTTTCCACTTCACACACCTTGGACTCTGACCTCTGAGTCACAGAGTGGAGTAAATGTTGATGGTTTCAAAGATAATTGCACCCAGGCAGTGAATCGGAGTCCGTTTGAAGTGGAGCTGAAGATGCTGCTGAGGCTCAAGTTATCTACTCTGTTCTATTACAGTTTACTGGGCAGATCTGGAACAGTGGCGCAGCGGCTCACATGCTCAGTAAACAGTCTTCCATTCAGCAGAACTGGAGAATTAGTTGCGCTGCAACGACTCAAAAACTAAACTACTAAACAGCAACGTAGTTCATTAGCAAGGCATTAAACCACTTAATTCAAAGCTGATGCTTAAAAAAGGCATTCTAAAATCATTGTTGGTTCTGATTGTAAAACAAGTTTAGCCTTGAATTTACCTGGCATTTCTCCACCATTTATTATGCTCATAGATTTCTCTGACACATTTGTAATGTTAGTTTTCTCAGACTGTGATTAACTGAAACCCAGGAAGACTCAAGAGACTGAAGGTAAGGAACAATGAATTTATTTACAGTATTTACAGGAGCTGGACTTGGGAGGAAATAGATAAGTATGTGTGGAAGTAGAAGGAAGACGGTAAGTGTTTTCCTCTACAGCAGATCTACTTGAAGGTTTGTATATAAACAGAAGAGGCTTATCCTGAATTGTAAATGTTTGGGCTAGGATTAGAGGATAAGGTTGTTTTCACACCTGATAGTCCGGTAGATTTGGTTTGATTGGGGACCAAAATTTGGAACATTTGTTTACATTTTCAGCTGGTGCGGTTTTCATTCACACGGCACTGAGTCAATTGAGCCAACCTGTTCACCCCCTGACCTGTGGTGGCGCTGCACCAAGAACCACTGAAGGAAACAACAAGAAAACCTCTGAAGAAGACACTGAGTGCAACTTACTTCTGGAAATAAAACAAAAATGGAGTGGCGTCAAATTTGAACAGTTTTAGGATTTCTCTTTTGTCTGTGGCTCATGTACTAAACAAACATTTTTCAACAATGGACTCAGCATGAGCAGAAAATGAGACAGAAGACCATAGAGAATGTTGTTTTTCACACAAAGTGGCTGAGACGGCTCTGTATGAGGTATGAGAAATGCGCGTTTGTTTTGGTTGTATTTACACAGGATGCCCTGCGCTGTAGTCCACTTCCTGCTTTTGGAGCGGTCTCCAGTTCACTTTCATTCACAATACATTCAAACCGCGCCAGAGTTCACTTCAACCGAACTGAGACCTAAGTATTTAAGCGGACCAGAGTTTGCTTTATTGCTTCACATCAGAGTTCGATTGTGCATTCACACTCCCCAAACGAAACTGACTTTTTAGGCAAACGGACTAGAGTTTGATTAAAGTGACTAAACAGGGCTGGTGCGCATACACCCGATTCCAGGTAGGTGAGTATGGTAGTTTGAGATTCACACGTTGGCATAAGAGAGTGGTAGGTCAGACCAGGATGAAGATGTAAGAGATCTTTCCAGTTATGTCAATATGAAGAGAAGTGGTTTTAAAGTGATGGTCCACAGCAAACTTAGGCTGGAGGAGGAAGGTGTCTCAAACTTGAAGAACACAGGAAACAGATTCTCATCTTTGAGGAGCACAAAGAAAACAGAATTAAGTAATCAAGAATTGCATTAGGAACTCGGGCCGCTCACAGCATACCACAGACAAGACAATGTCTCAGCGTTGTCCTCCGGCAGTTTTGGTCCTTAAATACAACAAGGTGATTCATTAGAGGAATGAGCCACAGCTGAGGAGAAGAAAACTTCTCTCTGCCAATTAGGAGTGGCAAAATGGTCATGTGAATACAAACAATACTGTAATCTCTACAATTTGACATTTTGGAGGACATAAGAGAGCCACTGTGTCTCATCTTGAATCTAAAAATGATATCAGTTTAATTACAGCAGCACTGAAGGCCTCGCTGAGAGATGGACAGAAAGGAATTGTCCAAATGTTGCACCAGCTCCGACAGTTCTGACACTTCATGACAGCTTGACACGAGACAGAGCCACAGACGCTGGTATAGATGGTATACATGTGTTTGTGTATGCAGTTGTGTGGGGAAAAAGAGCAAGGGTAAGAGTAAGACTGTGGAACATAGCCACATAAAGAGCAGAGTGCAACAGGGAGGGGAGAACCAAAGGTCCCTTCCACAATGGGAGTGATTAAGATATAACACAAAGCACACATGGGGAGTTAAAGGCCAGGAAGAAGACCTCATTACCCATAATGTAGAAGAAGAGGAATTTTCACCTAACATACCATGGAAGACTCACATACAGTGTCATAACATTATTTGAAACCCCTGTGCTGAGCTGAGGGTTGTGAAAAAAGAGAGAGAGCAGAATAAGTCTGAAGATTATGACTTATTTTACATTAAGAAGTCAAAGAAATTAGAAAAAAAGAAAGGAAAAGGGCAGCATTTAGGAGTTCATGCATCTGCATTTAGACCCTCTCTTTACACACAAGAAGAGTTTTTCAACTATGTTAATGATGAAAAATGCCTGATGGAGGTTGCAATACTCTCATTATTTCTGCACAACACTTAAGACTTCATATGAGTTGACAGATCTGGTTCATAACCAATTCTTGTAATATATTTTTAACTTAAGAGAAGGGTTATTCCTTTTTGATTTGCAAAGGCTTCGGTGTTGACTCTGCCTGTCTCACTGCTTGTATTCAAACGGTTTCACATTCAGTGAAGCCTCTGGCATTCCACTTATCATTTTACAGTTTTACACTCCAGTCTATAAGATGTTGATAATACCTTAGCTTGTCAACTGTCTATTGAAAACAAAAAAAGAGCGATTTCTCACTTGGAATTTGACGGATCTTGTGCAGCACTGAATGATGAATTAAACAAATATGAGTTCAGTGTCTTTCTAATACAAGATTTCCTGATGTCCGTGGTAATATCTCTCTCTATATATATATATTTGGTCTGTGTCTTTGACACCACCTTTCCAGCAAGAATTATGTCATGGTGCGTGCATGCACTTGCCGGCGCACGCAAGTCGGGCATTCACAGAATTCAGAGGCATACAGTAAGACTCAAATCTGGTGAAATCATGGAAACAGGGTTCAAAGGAGCTGTGAATCACTTTTATATTTATGAACAAAAAATAAATAAATCATGTGCATATTGGACTCATTCTGCACTTAAGGAAGACATTCAGACTCAGCCAGCCTACCTGGTTGATGATGTAGATGCCGTAGTTAATCTTTTGCCGTCTGAGGATAGGGTGGAGGTAGTGGAGCCAGTACTTCAGGTGATTTTCTCTGTGACGGAATGGAATGATGATGGCAACCTAAATAACAAGGACAGTTTTTACATTATTACCCGTTTGTTTTATGAAATCTTTCTTAGACAACATTTGCTGATAATATCACAAACTATTCAGCCAAATAGGCAAATGGTCGAATCCATGCTAAAAATAGAATACTGCTTGAGAAAGTAATATTTCTTATGCCGAAAGATCAGCTCAGATTTTTTGTTCTCATATTCTTCAGCTGATTTTGCAAGAAAAAAAACTACTGTCCTGTTGGAGAGTGGGGAATTTCTACAGGGGAGTTCAGTTGCAATGTGAGGGTGTGACTTTTTCTGTACATGTGTTAAAGTATGTTGCAAATGTCAGAAATGCATCTATTTAAAAGCCTGAATGTGGTTTTGTTCCAGCAGAACGCTGCATTGTAATTTATTGAGCGATGTTAATCTTTTTAACTGTCAGTGGTCATTATTTTATGGCTAATTGATAAATATATGTATATACAGCCAACAGCAGCATGTAGTGAATCGCCAAAAGAATGAATAAAAGCCTCCTCAGTTTTTTGACCCGTCACAGAGCAAAAGGGAGAAATTAGAAGTATCCTTTGTCCATTGGTCTGTATGCGTTGTGAGCATAACTTAAAAAATGAGTGAGGTACTGACTTCAATTTTGGTGTGTGGCTGCATCTCGGTATAAGAAAGATCCCTATCAAAAATTGGGTTGCCATGTCAAAAGTCAAAATGGCTACCAACATACATATACATAATATATATATATATATATATATATATATATATATATATATATATATA